CTCAGCAGCTTCATTTGGTAGCACTGAAGGCTACTCGGGATAACTGGTGTAGGACACACCATACAGGTTTTTGACATAAAAATATATTTTTATTTTTCATTTTTATTCACTCATATTGCCCATTGCTAGTGTGTATAATGGACCATTTTTAAATCATAGCCAGGTCATGAATTGATGAAATCAAACATGAAAGGTACATACTTCCCCTCCACATAGTATACTATGCGCTGGTAGAATTATTCAATATTAAATATTTCTTCAAAATCTGCTATGACTATAAAAAGTCCTTACAGGAGCTCTTGATTTTTCAAGTACAATATAAGGTTGGTTTATACATATTTTCATCCACATAATAGCAGGCAACAGTGTATTTTGTTAACAGGAAATAAGTATCTAATATTTTTTATTATGCATATTTGTCAAAACCTGTGATGTGATATATGAGTCCTATCATCATAATTAAATGTTTTGGGTATTGTATATGACTGTTTTATTTGTTTATTGACATGACACTCCAACTCACAACATCTCTAAGGTAAATTTAGGTCTTTTAGTCTGGGAGAACATCTAATATTATTCATTATCTGGTTGCTCAACTTTCCAGGTAACATTTCATTTGAATTAAAAGTTGCAGTGGCGCCCCATCTTTTTTGTTCAACCTTATGATTGCTAGATAACTGAATTTTTGCTATTTTAACTCATTTTGATAACTCGAACTCATAGTGCCTACTGACGAAGAGCTGCCGTTCGCAATGCACCTATTTTTCATAAAAGTAGGGCTGCAAGAGTATGAATTACTTATTTGTATAAAGTGGTGGAAAACGGTGAATAAGAACCAACCATTTAGGGGCGTCAGTATCCTTCCTGAAGCATACTATTTTGAAGAGATAGTATTCTATGAATGTGGAATATTGTGATTACCGCTTATTCAACCACAACATTTGGTATAATTCTAAATATTCATATATTCCTGTGAATGCTGTTCAAGATTCATGAAATTTATTTTTAATTTAATCATTCATTCATTTAATCAATCATTCATGGAAATCCAGGACAGGGTCCAAAATATTATCCACTAAGACAGTAAGTAAGGCGGCTCGGTGGTCGAGAGCGTGAAGGCACTGAGTTCGTATGGGGACTCCCACCGAGACATAGGTTCGAATCCTAGTTAGGCCATGGATGTTTGTGTTTGTGTGCATACCTAACCCCGCACAAGTTTCGACTCATGGGGCGTTTGAGGTAATGCAATTGCAAAAAAAAGTATGGTGTACAGAGAATATTCGATTTACCCACATGACTCGACTATTCTAAAGTATATTATTTGGTGTTTGAGATTGACAATATAGAAAAAATCATTCAGAAAGACTACTCAAACAGGGCCAAGGCCCTGACTCAAACCACCTACCTCCCTATAGTAATTACTCCAGAGTGCTTTTGCTTCATATTTGGAAGCATTTTTCGAGACAGAAAACTGAATATGAAATTCAATATCTTTAGTTCACCTATATATTCCAGATTGGCAATGATGTGACTATTGTTAATTATTTGTGCAATATAAATTCTTCATTTCTTCTTGAAAACACTTAGTGAGAACTGAAATAGATCGATTGAAGAACAATTTGTATTATAAATAGTTGACATTCTGTGTAGTAGTGAGTTTATTTTTGAATTTGTGCGACAAAATGGAACTGAAAATAGCTCGTTTTGTCTGAGGATACGTAAAGGAACATGACATGAGATATTTGATTATAAATTAGGAGCATCAACTACATTGTTCAGAATTTGAAATGAAAAATATATATCAGATTGTTCTCGGCTGGCCTCTTGTGAATGAAATTGGAATTGTTGCCTGAGTCTATATGTGCTTGCGAGAAAATTATATCACAGATAAACAAACCTTATAATCTGTGATTATATGTGCCACTGACATTGCAACCCATAAATCGCAAAAAAATGTATCGACTCAATTCTTTGTTTCTGAACGGTATACTGCGGACACGACCAGACAACTGTTGCAAAATTGATTTCGCTGTACACATAAGACTACAATAATTATTCCATTGTATGAATAGAATCAAAATGTTCACGTTATCTTATGATGAATCCGAATGTTTCATTGCTTCTTGAAACAACATAGTCGAAATGAGCCAAGAAAGCCATTTTTCTGTCGAAAATGATCCCCAGATCTTTGATTTGATTCACATGTTTCAATATGGTGTTGTTGATATTATAATCATGAGAAAATGTATCGATGTTTTCAGTGAATGAGATGGAATAGTAATTTTCCTAACAAGTGCGGAAAGTGATTCTTTCCCGCTTCGCATCGTTCGTGTCAACGGCAGTCAACAATAATCGTTTCCCATCAGATCAATCCAAATCTATAGGGGATTTTTATAATAATCAATTCTTATTCTTCAATATTTCGTAATTTTCACAATAAATAGTACAATTTGATGGATGATTCTGAACATACATACTTAATACTGCAACAAACAAACTCAAACTGTCATATTCTATGACCTATCATCTTATATTTCGCCATATTATCATATCTTTGTTTTTCCCGCAATGTTTCTGGAAAATGACACTTCCCAAACTAAATTGCGTGTGGGTATATAGGGTGAATCACGCACGCTTGTAGAAAAAAGCATTTATCTAAATTTGGGAAAATTTTATTTGATTCACAGGATTTATAGAAACAATCAAGATCGCGTTGGATTAAGACACTATCACCTGGACTTCTGACACTAGAATGGTACATTATACATCAAGAGACAAAAATGCAAGATTTTTCCAAGGTGCGATTTGTAGCTCGAGGGGGAAGCCCGAGAGATGCAAAGTACCGAGGGAAAAGTTAGCATTGTGCCAGGAGGAGTATATACTATTCTTAACGCTGGCGAAAACAAACAAATTAAGAGAGATCAAAAATTTGGTCGAAGTGTTTTGTCATAATTAGTAGTAGTATTGTTTGTGGAATTCGTATCTTGACAACATGCATATTGTTGACAACCCCGGGTGCTCGCCCGGGTGACATCAAATATCAAACTGGAATTAATGAAAACAGCTTTGAAAATGGTTACAGGTTATGGAACAAAAAATCAGGGAAAAACCCCAAGAAACTATTGATATTGCTTCTGCAGTGATTCTCAACTTGCTACCAGTGAGATCTAGAAATCTGTATGATGCAGCTTATGCTAGCTTCAGAGAAGGGTGTTCCGAAAAGAAATCGCAGAGCTATGCGGATAATGTGAAGTTGGTATAAACTCCCTAGGGAGAAAATATGTCACATTATCTCCCTAGGGACTAATACGAGACTTCTGCCCTTCTTTTGTTACCGGAGAAACTAACTTCTACTCTCGCCGGCGTAAAAAATATTTATGAGTCGTCTTCATAAAGCAGAAATTCATAATATTGCATAGCTTTATATCATGAGTTCCTATAGGATATAAAGTTCAAATTCCAATTATAGTGAATATAGTGGAGGTGATAATTCTATTCGCGAAAGCAAAAAATATGCATCCTACACTGAGAGAAATATCTATTAGCTGTTATACGAAATTTTAAAACCATCAAAAGATTTCTGAATCGAATAGGCACCAGCATAGTTCCCATTTCACTGTAATCACGTTCATCATTTCAAAAAAATCATATAACTGTGAAATATCACCTAGCATTTCAGTGCTATACGATGATATTATAAAAATGAGAAGATACTCATATAAATTTGACCTGTTTTCAATTTGATAGTCAGATAAAAAGCATTTCCATATTGAATAGTGATATTATAAAAATGAAATAATACTCATATCAATATAATTTGCTTTCAATTTCATAGTCAAATGCATGGTATTTCAGTATTAGGATGATTGATTTTTCTCCAGAAAAATGAGGTTGGTTGAAACTCTTCGAGAAATATTGAAGACATATATACTTGGTTTATATACTTACCCCCATGTAAAGTTATTTTGAGGATCTACAGGGCATTGAAGTGCATCACAAGGACGATATACTAAGTTTACAATATCTCAGTTTGTGTAGGACAAAAATGCTTCCAATTTGGACTGTTTGTTATCATTGTCAGTGCATTGGATTATTAGTTAACATAGTGGCCAAAAATGTAATCACACAGTATCGTCAGTAAGGTAGAGTTCACATTCGCAGATTTCGTTTTATTCTATTTACCGTTACTGCCACTTGAGCTTTACAAAAGAGCGTTGAGAGACTTTTCCTACGACGTTTTCGAGATCCCCATGATAGTAATCATTAATCTTGGACACAATGTATACGCAATACAATCTATCACCGATAAAACTGTTCAAATCCAAGCTCTTGCCACTTAGTGAATAGTGAGGTAATTAAAAAAAAATAAGTTTTTCCAATTTGGAAGACATTCCGATACATACACTTACCGATATATCGTGAAAACACTATAACGCCCAGAGGCAGTTCAACATTCTGTAGTTCCTCAACAAATCTTGGAGGATTTATGAACATGTCCATAATATTCCTAGAAGATCTCTCAACCACTTCACTTGTTTGAAAAACAAAAAAATATCACTCTGCAAGAAGAGTTCACGAGCTGCCGCGAGCTAATATGTCCTTTCATATCAGGAATCCGAAGACGACTAACGATTCTCATCGAACAAGTGTTCATAGGTGAGTGAGATGACTCATTGAGGTAAACGAGTATGACAAAGATGGAAAATGATAGAAGGGATGAAATTAAATGATAATTGTATGACTGTGAAATGACATCTTTTAGGATTTAAATGATTATCCTCAAATGTCCATCTTTTAACTGTAATCTTGTCTCCATTTCGAATCTAAAAGATAACCTTTTTGAAACAAAAAGAGTGATTCGAAAGGGTGACCTGTTTCACGTTGAAAACGTGAACTTTTCACGTTCATCAGATGACATTTCGTGGTTAAAATGTTTCATTTGGCGGTTATAAGAAGTTTAAATAGATACATGTATAACTGTTTCTCGGGGTATCGCTTACCAAATATCACGAGAAGAAACAAAACCAGACTACGCTCCCCATAAAATAATGTTCCTGTCATGTTTGCACGACTAACAAACAATACTGTTCCAATGGCACTACATCACTAAATATCTCTCAATAATAATTAATATCACAGGCAAGAGTTTCAAATAACTTGTAATATCACCCTTTTTTGTTGCTGTTGATAAACATTCGAAAGACGCAACACGTTTCAGGGCCTTCTCTGAAACTTCAGGAAAGTTCGTGCGTCTTTCAGCGTCGCGATGCAACTGATCATAGAGCTTTCCATTCCCACATGGAAATCCTGCGCATGACTGAATGCTTTCCATTCGGCACACGATGAATTTCTAATGGGTCGGTGAAACAGGCAGGTTAGAATTTCTGATACGAGAAATTGTTTTTCATTCTTGATTGAATCCACGAAGGCCGTTTTCTTCCATTTCGTTCCGTTAAACGCTGGAATGATTGGAGTCATTGGAGCTCTTCTCATTTGGTTGGAGTGTTTCGAACATGAGATCGTTGAAATTCAGAAATGAAGGGTCGCTTGAATGATATTCGAGTTCCACCAATATCGTTGATGGCAAATATAAATGGTCATGATTATAATCAGAATTAATTGATGCAATGATGTCAATGGATGATCAAGTTTGTGGAAGGAGAGGGGTCTCATGCGGACACAATACATATCAGCAAAAAATGCGAGACAGATTGAATACTTTCATTATTCCACATTTTTTCGGATTTTCTCTCCTCGTTTCTATAAAATGAAAATATTAATATTATTTCAATATACGTGTATAGTAAGGAGGAATCAGGAATGTCACTGCGTTTGAAGAATTCTCCTATCAGATAGCCTAAAAGAAATATTTACCAGCTGGTCAGTGACAATTTGTATTAAAAAAGGTTTGGAGAAGAGAAATTAAGGTATATAAACTACTCAACACTAATTTCGTCGCACACCAAAGTGTCGCCCCTGTTATAATGTGAATAACTTTTTTCAGTTCAGAACAATTTGAATTTGGTTTACACTTGGATCGGACTGTCTTTGTTCTTTCATTTGTGGAATCAGTTCCAACTGGTCGGGCGTTGATGCTGCATCGAAACTATATCAAAATCTGTTTATGATTCGAAAACGACGTCTAACCTGACTTGTCAGTACTTACTGTGATTCTTGTAACGTTGGTTACGGCGGGCCATGCATTACACAGGAGAAATGATCTAATGTTTTTGCAAGAACATGTTTCAATTGTGTTTTCTCACGCACAATTCTTGACTACTGAGAGCGAGGAAAATATGGATGCATTCAGAATGAATTGTTTTTCCGAGAACAAGTTGATTTTCATTCAATTCTCCTCCCAACCAAGATTCGAAGGGCGTTCCAGATTTGGGCCACTTTCAAGAAAACTCTAGATCTTTGATAGTCATCTTGAGTCAATTCTGATATTCAGATCTCTTCATCTGAAGTTTTATTTTCAAAATGAGCCTAAGATTTCTAGAATCGGTTGACGTGGAAAAAAGTTATAGCTACAAAACCAAAAAGTCGATTTTTTGAGATCACTCTGTAAATAAGAGAGATAGGAAGTTGATTCGCGAAATATCTCGAGGTAATGAGATCATCTTCATGCCTCTGTTGTCGAAGTTGAGAAAACATTTTTTTTCAACATTTGAGAGCCTTTTGAATATTCCGAAATTTCGCACAGTGTCGGAAAACACCATGTAGAGATTTTATGTGAATACCCTTATGTTTCAATGAACTATCAGATTATAGCTGAAAGACTGGGCTATCGAACAGTGTGAACCAAATTCAAATTGTTCTAAACTGAAAAAAGTTATTCACATTATAACAGGGGCGACATTTTGGTGTGCGACGAAATTAGTGTTGAGTAGTTTAGAAGAAATATCAGATTCTCACTTACCTCTGGACGTTTCGAAAACGAGTCTGCTTCCGTTTCCAACATGAAAAAAAGGATATTTGAATAGCAATATCTCATTCGTCTTCACCCTTTTCAGTCTCCTAGTGACAATTGGTGGTGTTGGCAATTAAATGAATTACTGGATGTTTACATTAACTGATCTTGAATTTACCACTTGTTTTTTTCGGATTTCAATAGTCAATACCATGTTTCATCTATATAAACTGGACTGGAAGCAATGCTATTGTCTCCGTTCAGATGAATGCAAGCAGATCCCTTGATTTTTTTATTCTGGTTGTTAACTTCTTTCCCAATGATTTCAATATTATTTACATTCTGCTATATGTCGTCCATCTTCAGTGAGGATATGTTCAGCTAGATAACAACCAGAAGAGAAAAATCAAGGAATCTGCTTGGATTCTTCTGAACAGAGACAATAGATAGAACATGATATTCACTACTGAAATTGAAATTCAAGATTAATCAATGAGAACATCCTGTAACACATTTCATTGCCAACGTCATCAATTGTCACTGAAAACTGGAAAGTGTCAGGGAGAATACGAAGTTGCTATACATATATCCATTTTTTATGTTGGAAACTGGGACAGATTCGTTCACGAAACGTCCAAAGCTAAGTGAGAATTTGATATTTTTTCTAAATACCTTTATTTTTCTTCTCCAAGCCTTTCTCAATTCAAATTGTCACTGACAAGCTGGCGACTCTCTGATAGAAAAATTCTTTAAACGCAGTAATATTTTGAGGCGAATCATCTGATTTGTCCCTTCTACAGGTATATTGAGATAATATTCATATTTTTATTCAATAGAAACGAGGAGAGAAAATTCTTAAAAATCTTGAATAATGAATGTACGACCTCCTCGATTAACCTACAGACACTATTTAGATTGAGTACTCTTGAGCAGCAGCTGTACTTCTTACTTACCTACATAATAATAAGCCACTTCTTTCTGAGAGAAAATGAGTTGAGTCCACATCAAATACAAAAATAGCAGACTCTATTTTGATCACGGAAATTACCCACTGTATCCCACATTGGGGCTATATTTGCTCTTCATGATATTTCAATGCGTATATTTGAAACTTTCGCTTACAAGCGTTGACTTCTTTGTGTGAAAAACTGATGGGGTTTATTGGTGTCAGGACAATTATTCTTCCATATTTATCTTCGCCATTATTGAGAATTCAATCGACTGATTCAGCCGAAATCATATACCTCGTGTCCGTGAAGTATGGAATCGATTCCAAATTTCCCAAACTCAAAACCTCTTGAAGAAAATCTGGAAAACGTACATTTCAATATTGAATATTCAACAACATTTGTGATACACATTAAGTAGGATGAAATTTTTTGGTGAAATCAAGAACAATAAAATTGAAAATCGACATGTTTCAGATAATTTTATAGGGCTTTCAATAGTTGAGGAAATATCGATTTCATTCCATACTTCACGGACACATTGTATATCATCATTTGGGCAGGTATAGAAGTAAGATGTATGAGGTATGTAATCAGAAGGAGAAATGTTCCTTTAAAATCCAGAGAATCTACGAAATAGAATCATATCAACTGTCACAAGATGTCCCAAAATATTGTGCGTATACCAGTTGACACATGGTATCAGGCCACCCTTGTAACTTCTGCATTCGTAAACGGATTTTCCTGAAATTTGGTACATTCATGTAAGCAACCATTTCATATTTGATCACATTATAATCCAATATATCAGACTTCCGGTTTTCCTGGAAATGCCAGCAACTTTGTTATTTCAAATGAAACAACTTATATATTTTTGAATATGCAAGCTCAACAGGTCGATACAAGTGAAAAAATTATGTATCTCTGTGAACTTTCTATTCAATCGTTTCGCTCTCGATAACTGTCACAACATCAATTTAGTAATTCAAGACACGAAACGTGCATTACGTTATTTCAAAAATGCTACTATAGAACTCAGTGAGCGATATGGTTTCGACAAAATTTAAATTCTAGTAATTCGAAGCATCAGTCAACACCAAAACGATTAAGAGATATTTTATAAAAATTGTTCAGGATGTTCATAATATCCACGTATACAAAGATTGATACGACGAAAAAAATGGATACAAACACACTCACCTCAGTACAAAGTTCTTAAGTTTGGGAGCTAGACGGCTCTGGCTTTATCAGTACAAAAATAAACAACTACACTCAGAGAAATAGTGGGTAGTAAATACTTAACGTTTAGTGAAATAGGCGCCAGTCTATACATTCATCAAATGATACTAATACAAAATTGTATCATACTAAACTATAAGTATCATACTATTTTGTAGTGGTGATATTTGATATAGTATAGTATTACCGAATGACGGATAGAACAATTTTAGTAACAATTTTTTTTCAGAAACAATTATATGATGTTGTAGTGTTATCATTAGATGAATGTTGTGACTGGCGCCTATTTTACTAAACGTTTGGTTATTACTACCGACTACTTTTTTCAGTGTAAGAACAGCTAATAGCACTTTCTAATTATTTTACGTATACGTACGATTTTGTTGGTTTACGTGTGGATAATGAAAATTTCAAACAATTTTCATTAAATGTCTCTTGATCGTTCTGGTGTTGACTGATAATTGAATTACTGAAATTCTAATTTCATCCTTCTTCGTAGTAAAATAGTTACGCAATCCAAATTCCATATCAAAACCCCATTCCTTATATTATATCTCATACCTCAAGATCCGTTCGAAAGTGACGAAGCAAGAACAATTCGAAAATTGTAATTTCTGGGACATCTAGCGCCCAAAATGGCCAACTTTATCGAGAGCTTTATATCGTCTGCTTGTCGAATTGTTCTGGTCTGGGGAATATGTGCTTAGTTTTTGTGAAGACCTTTTAGGGGGGTATGTTTATTCACAGTTAAATTATAGCTCATACATAATATAGTGGAATATGTCTAATGTTAATACACTGTTCATTTCCACAGAAACTGATTCAGAAAGTTGGCTTGCATATAAGGCATACTCGATACGCATAGTTAGGTTTTTGTGTTGTTGTTGTTAAAAACTGATTAGGAAGTGAGACATGCAAAACAATAATATTCATAAATACAAAATATTTCGCTACATGATTCTATA